CCGCCTCGATCGTCTTCGCCACCGCTTCGTCTCCGTAGTAAGTCACGAACGTGTTCACCAATGTCGTTTCTTTTCCAGGACTGTACTTGTTAAATAGATTCATGTAGCTGACATATGTGCCCAAATTCGAGTTGGTAAGAAGTTTCTCGATCCCTTCGTCCAACTTGAGGAGCTCAAAAATATCGTCTGCGGTTTTTTCTGCTTTAATCCATGTCCTCACCTGTCTTTGCTGCAATCTCAGTGCGATCTCATTCGCCCCCTCCACCTTCTTCGCTGCTTCGAGCATTCTAATCAGAGACCCGTCGCTGTATTGAGCTGTCAACTTCGACATCATTGTTGTCGTCGAGTGTTTCTCCGCGACGGAGGCTACGTAGTTCACCCACGTTTTGAATTTCGGACTCGTGAATAGGTCGTCGCCCGCCTCATCAAGCTTCGACAGTGTCAAGGCGGCAATCGGCTTCATCTTTATGTCTTTCAATGCCCCCAACTCGGTTAATTTCGCGCTCTGGCCCAAGCCAGAAAGGTCGACCATTCTGTCATCGTCATCCTTCTCGTCGTCAGACGTCATTGACGTGCGTAGTGTCCTCCCATTAAGAGCGAATCGCTGATCGTCAATTACTGCCGCAGACATGGCGAGAAGGCAAGCAAGAGCAATTAATATCAGCGCCGCACGTTGGTGGTGGCGCATCGTGCTTCTTCCTGTCCTCAATACGTTATTACAGTCTGTAATTTACAGATTCGGATCCTTGGGCGATTAGCGAAGTGGCAAGAAAGTAAGGTGTTTCATATCCTCCAGCTTTGATTGCGTACTTTTTTTTGGGCTGCGTACTGCATCCAAGCAGTACGGAATTGAAGACTGATCCCATTGTGCATGAGAGTGACTATTATTACAGTACCGGTACGTGAACCGCCAGGCAGTATTATTTTTTTTAAACAATACATGTAGCTCATATACCACAATTTTTTAAAATATAATAGTATTCCTTTCGCAGTGAGGCATATTACTAATGTAACATCCTAAAGTATCAATTATTAATAGTGTCACTACAATACTAGTATTACATGTACATGTACTAATTCCGGAAGCTTTTACTTGAGTACGGAATCAGCCACACGAGCCGGTATTTGTCCTAAAAACAACGTAAAGTATGATTTTTTTCGAAGCGGAACGCTGGTGCGCAGGGGGGGGGGTGAATCCAAGTGGTAAGATAGGGCTGGGAGCAGATAGTGTCGTATGACGATACTTTTAGTACTGGTAGCATGTACAGTTTTGAGCTTCCGGAAGCACCACTACGAATTCGGTAGGTACAATGATTCTGTTTTTATGCAGCACTTCCCTGCTTCGTACTTGAAGTATTTTAATTAGTCCTCTCCGTTTTCGACTGCTTTTGCGCTGATGGAATGACCAATCTCAGGGATCCCAGATAAAATAATATAATTATAATGACCAATTTCAAGCCACACCTGAATTAACTAAGTACCGCTTATTTTTCAGCCGTACAAGAAGCTTAATGCTTTTAAAGCCACCACATCAGCCAAAACGACGATGGGAGTACAGTACAATTCAAAAGCACAATAAAAAATAGCGACTTTTAGATAGGAGACATCCCAAGTAAATTGATATATCGTGGATTCCTGACTCTGTCAGTTATCAGAGGAAGAAACGAGAGAGCTACTGTACCTTCTGCTACTGTGTCTGAACGTAAACCTTACTTCGAGGTAAAGTATTACTTGAAGTCTTTTAGGAACGGTATTGAAACCCAATGAGGTCACATCCAAGGCTTTGGGTACCGTATTGGAGATCTCTTTCAATTGGAGTCGCAGCACCTTTACAAAAGAAGACACCTGTTAGCACATTTTCTGGTTCAGTACAGCAACATTGAAAATCTGACTTTTCACCACCACTTTTAATATTGGCCGATTTCCAACATTGACTTGACTGCCTTTTGTATGCTGAAGGATGGGGAAAGGGTGAATCCATTCTCATTCCGCATGCCAGATCTGGTTTAGGTTTAACTACCCACGGTCATAATACCCGGCCTGTACGGTTGACACCCCTTCTCGTCCCACTGGGACGTTGTGTGGCACGATCTTCGGATACACAAATCCCGCTCCTCTCAAGTCCAATCGTCTATTCCACAGTTGACAGCAGCAGCACACACCGCCATAAAACATTCCTTTTTGTCTATAACACCTGGTTGGAAGTCCTGCGGATTCTCGAAATTGCAGGCATCCCATCCCGCTATTGTGGGCAGATATAAGACCGAGCCTTACACCGATGCTTGTTTGATGTTGCTCGACAGGTGCCCTCATGGAGTTCAAGATTGAGGCTTTGACGATATTTTGCTGCCAGTGTCTACGTATTTTCAGGATTTGACTTTCGCCCCCAATATATTATTAAATATCTAACACAGAGGTTTCTTGACGCGACATTTCAATGTTGCTTTTTCTTAAAAACGGTAAAAACAGTACATGTAATCAAGCCTCTCACGAGCAAAATGGATACAGCCACCAGAAACGAGGTTAAAAGATTCTCGCAAAATTGGGAAGCACGGTTTTTGAGGTTTTATTCTTCCTTCCACATAAGTACGATGGCTAAGAGCAAAACTCCAATGCACGAGGAATTTATTCTTTTTCAAGAGCCGGCTCAAAGCTGTGCTCCTTCAGTAGCGTTCCTTACTGGTGGAAATTCGCGATGTTCTTTCGTAAATCACGGCGATCTTCCTGTATATCTTTTCCAGTCATCGTGAAGCACGCGGCGGCGGCCTGGGCTACCAGACGCGGATAACACATCTACACAGTGGACCAAGCACTTCCGTACAAAGTATTCGCCCCCTTGCTCTGACGTAATGACTACAACGTTGGACCCGCCAGCAGCGGTGAAGCGTGCCGTCGAGAGTTGGGCCTATATCGGTCCTTTCAAGAGAAAGCCCATACAGCCCGGAGAGAGCTCCTTTATATTCGATTGGGGCGTCCGTGTTGAATACACCGAAGGAGCCAAAACGAAGGTTGGCTATATTTGCCTGGCAGATGAGTATTGCCGACGCACTGATACCGCCGACAACTTGTTGCTGCTGTCGCATGGAAAGACGTCCGCCGCCGTGAAACACCTGCGACTAGTTCATCACTTGGAGTCTCCAAAAACAAAGAAGGCGATGACAACAAAACGAAAGCGGAGAGAAGAGATTGAGCACTTACGCTCGTCTGTTTTGTACTCTCGCAATCCTGCCCGTTTAAATCTTCTCCTCGAGACGTTGCGCATTGTTAACCACAATCTACCGCTCCGGATAGGCGAGTACGAAGAATCAAGGCTCAAAGAAGCTCTCGTGGTCAAAGACGAGATGCAGGTCGTCATCACTGCTGAGCTTATCGAAGAATCAATTATCGAGCTCTATGTGTCGACAACTAAGGAAGTAATCGAATTTCTCCATTCAAATCGCCAATTGTTTCCTAACTTCACGATGGTGGCGGACTTCTGGACATGCAAAACGACGGGCGAGAAATACCTCGGCTTGCGAGTATATCTTATTGATACTAATTGGCAGTTTCGGTCTGTACTTTTGGGAACACGCAAGTTTAACCCCGCCTATGGTGATCGAGATGGCGGGATCAGACGACCTTTTCTGCTGTGGGTGAAGCGCACTTTGGAGGATTTCCAGCTGACCGTTAAGGATTTCTACGGTGCCACCAGCGATAAGGGCTCCGATGTTGTGGGCTTGCTGACCGAAGAGCTCGATTTGCAATGGGAATGGTGCATGGCTCATATGGCTCACGCGGCAACGAAGGCTTCCTGTGGAATGAATGACAATGCTACATGCAAAAATCCCGACATGCGTGATTTAATTGCAAAGCTGACACGGACAATCTACCAAGTTCGGTCCGTTGAAGTTACTGGTGATTTGCTCGAAGCGCTGTGCAAAGCCTAGACCGGAACTTCCTCAACGAAGTTGTTGAGCTATTCGGCCTCTCGGTTTTTGAGTTTGACAAGCTCCATTAAGCGTGTCTTAGAAAAATGGCCTGCTTTGGAGTCGTGGTATGCAGAGCGAGCAAAAAAGCAATTCGAGATAAAAAACCACCAGTTGTATTTCCACTGGCAGCTCAAGAAACCAATCTGATCCAGCTCCTATCGATTTTGCAGCCTGTGACAGAGCTAAAACGCGCCTGTCAAGCTGAGTCTGCGACTCAAGTCGAAGTTCTGATGAAGCTATTTAAAATTCGTTTGAACGATCTTAACCCAGAAAAACCAGTTCGACACTATCTGGCGACAGAGAAGAACCCTCGGTGGATTGATCCCAGCGAGTTGCTGCCACTAGCAAAGTCTACACGTCTGCTACTACGGGATGCACTTGACGAGCGGTACTTTTGTCGTTACTATAATAACGCCAAGATGGCTGAGAGCTCTTTTGTGTTTGAAATGCAACAAAGGCTTCACCCGATTTACAAAAGTCCAAGATTGAGTCTAAATGCTGTTGTGCTGCTGGTGTGTCGTCAGCACGGCATCGGCACTCGTGACGCTTGTGCTAAGCGAGACAGAGTGAATGAGAAGATTCGCGATAAGTTACTCACTCTTATGAAAGCCGTCGCAGAGCCCAATCGATGCTGCTGAACCTCCTTCTCCCACTCCTGTAGCATATTTTAGTGAATTGGAGAATTTATTTGCTCCTCCGCCACGCAGACCACAAGTCATCACCTCAGACCGGATGCACCGACGCAATGCAGAGGAATTAGATCGACGACCCAATCGCGGTAGAGCGCTCACCGAATGGAGCACCCGAATCTGTGCTACCATTCTGGCGGAGAATTGAACACCAAGGTGACTACAAAATTCTATCAAGAGTCGCACGATTGCTGTTCGCTATCCCAGCTTCGTCCTGCCAAATAGAGCGCGACTTTAGCGTGAGTGGGAGCATGGTCACTGTGCAACGCACTAGTTTGTCGCAGCACAACATTGATATGTGCTCGTTTCTAAACCGCAATCGCGAGTTTGTTGACCTTCTGCAGTGTGAACCGATTACTAAAGGAAAGCACCGACAGTATACACCCTCGTGTTTTACGTATCCGCTGGATTTGAATATGGACATGAATATCGACGATTTCGCGGACGAGATGCTGGCCAATTTCATCTCGAACTCTAGTTTGTGTGACGAAGAGAAAGACTCGACATAGCTACAATGAACGTGAATTTGTGAAGGAGTATATGGTAGGTCTGCTCGACGAGTCCGTACGCTTGATCCAGGAGGCAACCCGAGCAGTTCGGTGTCTAGTTCCTCACAGCAGAGCAACAGCGGCTTTAACTAGGACGTTTCGTGCAGGCCGAGCGACGCTGACACCTTCGTCAGTGTGTCGTTCATAGTGACGGGCACTGGTAGCGCGTAGGGCGTAAGGGTGCTGAAGGTGTACATTGAGCCACTGGCGGACGCCGCAATGATGTACCCAGGCGTTCAGTTCAATGCGACGGGTCTGGTTGGTTTTGCGAACGTGGACCTGGATGCCGGTGCGATTACGACGGTAACCATCGGTGTCCGTGGGAAGCAGCAATGGACTAGAGTAGTTTACATTGGGATCCGTCCAAAGTTCATCTTACGAGCCCTGATTGTGAATCGAAGCCGAAGCAAACTTCTCTAAGTTTGCCCATACATGCGTATGTCACTTAACTAAAGCTACTTGCATAAAATATATTGAGTTAAGCTCTGATACTTCATCCTAGGTGGACTCGGAACGTGGCCTTCCTGTTGCGTCCATCGTGTACCCAACCTTCTTTCTAGCACGCTATAAGATACTCGCAGCATTTCAACATCCTAACGCAGCTTGCGCATTGATCTGTAGCGTTTCACTGCAGCCTCCGCTCTCTGTGCAACCTCTTTCTGAACATCAGCAATCACTGCCCGACGGTCCGCGTTTCCGTTTGAGTTTAGTTCACCACGATAGGCAAGAGGCAATACCTGATGATGCACCCGAGATGGCGATGCGATGTTCTCATCATTTCGGGAACTCTTTATTTCGGAAAGCTGAGGTTTTTCATTCTCCGCCTCGACCTTCAGCTGCGACGGTAAGGCGGATGCATGCGCTTTGACAAGAGCATCTCGCATTCGCTGCTGGATACTGCGATCTTCTTTGGATAAATCTTCGTCGTCTTCACCTCCAACGTCACCCAATCCATCTCCAGTATCGCCGCTCACACAAGCGTAACGGCGGATGGCCTCGCGAACGAGATCGTGTATCAGCTTCACGCTATTCTCCACCGTCTGCTTTGTCTGCTCGGAAATATCGTCTATCCGTACCTCGGTAAGACGTTGGCCGACCTCCCCAGCCACGTCATGCTCCACCTTGATATCGCTAATTTCCGTACACCTTCCTGTTTGTGGATGGGCAGTCAGAAGTTGGCGCTGCACAAGTTCCATACGCTTCTCCACTTCTTTTTTCACAAGCTCTTTTATTGTGTTGCAGGCCTCAGCTTCATCTACCATATCACGTATTTCAGGTACACGATCGCAATGCTGCTGTAATTTTTCTCGTAGAATTGAGACCGCATCGGCTTGACGTTGAGCTCGAAGGTTAAGATCAGATTGAGTAGATATTAAAGCTTGCTGCACTTGAGCTTCGAAGTGGCGCTTTGATTTTTTAATTTCTTCCAGCACGAAGCTCTTGACAGCGTCATGCGAAGTTCCATCTGAAGTGATCGTGTTTGAAGTAAGCTCCTGTTTCAAATCATCACGCGCCAACTTAAAGCCCAGCTCGAACGATCTCTCAAGGTGGTCCTTCATCTGTGTTGTAGATTTTCTTACAAGCTGCTGCGCCAGTTCGGTTGTCATTTCTACAGTTCTCGCTTGGTGCGTTGCTATCTTCTCCTCGACAAGTTGGTGGATGTGTGAGGTAAGGACCTGGAAGCCACTGCCAATTTTCGCGTCAACCTGCTGCTCCACTCGAGCGACACCGTCTACCTGAGCGGCAATCATCGACTGCGACTCGCTATGGGCCTCCCGAAGAGCACGAAATAGCTTCTCCGCCACAGATCTTTCTATCTCCTCTCCGACGTTAGCTTGCATTGTTTCTAGCCGCAAGAATTGCTCGCGAATACCAGCGTGTGTCGCCATCAGCTCTTCATGAAATCGGCCTGCGATTGCCAGTTGTTGATTGGCTAGCTGTTTAATGCCTGCATCTGTGGATTCCTCGAAACAGCAAGCAGAGCGGAACTTTGGGCTTCGCCTTGGCCTTTCGAGCTGGATTCTGCATAAATGTGTGCCCTTTCAGCGAGGGCCTGTGTTTGAGTTAGAAAATTACTCTGCAAGCTTAGCCAAATAGTCTTGAACATGCGGGACAAGCTCGACGGATAGTAACATTCTCTCCACACAACTTCTGTCACTTTGGTCTCGGAGGCTATGGTATACCAACGTCCAAGTCATCGTTTCTGGTAATGTTGGTTGTCTTGTGGACGTCGTTGTTTCTCTTGACCTGTCCTCGGGGTTTGCCCCATCTCGGTGGTCAGCGGGGATATTTTGATCTGCGCTCATGAACTAATCTCACGTACCATCTTTCTAGCCAATAGGATCGGTTAATAATGAGCACGACGAGCAATATTTTCGCGCTCTCCTGCTAAAGTTGATAGTGAGGTGGAATCGAAAAACCTCAAGAGCATTACTCTTGAGGTTATTCTCCTCCAAAAAAAACCTCAAGAAGCGTGCTCATCATTTGCTCCTGGGACGCTTGCATGTAATGCCGTGTCGGTAGCGATTCAAACTCGCATTAGGTTTACGGTACAGCCCTTTCAGTGAACGACCAATCAATGGCTTTGCCAAAACTGTTTCTTTCCTACTTTGCAATTCGCCTTCGAGCCGTTGGTTTGGAGCAGTTAATACGTGCAGTCTGGTCTTAATAATATGCGCTGCTTCGTGTTCCTAGTGCTCTTGATTGCAAGCGTCGTGCTGGCGAACGGCGATGCTACCGTGGAAACTGCAGATGCCAATACAGTCTCCAGCCTCCAGTCATTGGCCAGCTCTCTGTCTACGACCAAATACGAAGCCCACGCCACGAGACTTTTGAGGGTCCAGGACGAGGAAGAGCGAGCTCTTCCGATCCCTCCTCCCAGTCTTTCTCTGTTCTCGAATTGGGTCAAGGCGATGAGATTGAAGGTCACAAACAGCGTTCGAGCCCGGTATTGGCTCTGGCGGAGGCAGTCAGTAGAGGCTGTTTTTAGGCAGCTCAAGCTTGACGGCGGACTGAACAAGATTCTGGCCAACCCGAAGTTTCACGCGTGGTCGACCTACGTTAATCTGTACAAT